TTCCTGTAATGAGACAACATTTTGCTTTTAAGACAAGTCCCTGCAGACGTTGTTGGAGAAGGTCAGGCTGAAATCTGGTCAGCAACCATCAGTGGGAGTGTGGAGAAGATTTAGAATAGAAAAAAAGGAGGAAGCTAAATATATAATAAAAACGGTTTTAAAAATGAGGGGACTAATTAAAAATAACATTTTATTTCCCTCTGCTGTAAAAGAGATGTTTTTATTAGAATGATATAAGATTCAATATGTGTGTAGTGCCATCTATTTGGAGTGCAGTGCAATGCCTGTTTTGGGAGGAAAGCTTTGACTGTCTTTGAGAAATACTTCCGAAAGACAGTTTTCCAACAAAAGACAGCGAACATGAATGACTGTGTTCTTTATGATGTTGATGATAATGCCGTGTGTCTCTCCCCAGCGATATACGAGCAGTCCTGTGAGGCGTACAAACACAGAGGAAACACGTCGGGGTGTTATTACATTGATGTTGACGGCAGCGGGCCCATCAGACCACAGCTGATATACTGCAACATGACAGGTATATAGTACACACACAAACACACACACACAAACACACACACACACACACACACACTCTCTTTGTACAGTCTCTTTCATTCCCCATTATATTTGTCCGTATTTCTTGCCTAGTATTGACATATCTAATCATAAAATGTATTTATATAGCATCTTTCAGACTGTAAAAAGTAGCTTTCTCATAAAAACAGAACACGTAAAGTGTAATAAACACACACAGGTAATAAAATGAACTAAATACCAGCAAACTATACTGTACTATAAAATGCAAAAGGATGGGATGAAATACATACAAGACAGATTTTGCAGCCTTGACCTCTAACGGCATTTAAATGTTCCACATAAACGGAAAAAAAACTTTAAATAAATGCATATTTATTTCCTTTCTTCTGTGTCTCCCTCCTCCAGAGGACCACACGTGGACGGTGATCCAACACAACAACACAGATCTGACGAGGGTCCGACCCTCTCCGGGGAAAAATCAGCACTCGGCTCACTTTGAATACACGGCTGAAGAGGAGCAGCTGACCGCCATCATCAGCCAATCAGAGCACTGTGAACAGGAAGTGATCTACCTCTGCAGGAAGTCCCGCCTCCTCAACACACCAGGTACAAATGTGGAGTATCCTGTGAAACATCATAGAGTTTAATATAAAGTTTCAGTACCAAAAAGAAAGCTGAATTAGGGTTTGTAAATGAATATGACTCCTAAAATGTTAGTGCGTTTGTTCATGACAGACTTAAATGAATTAAAACAATCATTTCATAATAACAATTACTTTATTTTAATAGCACTTGTTAAGCTTTACACGTTTAAAGATTAACAGAATAAAAAATAAAACACAAACCCATGCTAGCCCCATGTACGATATACTAAATTAGGAATATGAACACACATAATAATGATACATTTTATTTATCAAGTGCTTTTAGGAAGGAACGCAACACTTTACATGTGCAGGTTAAAATACATACAAATCATTTAAAGAACAACACATTTAAACATATACTGTACCAAGCAGCACTGATGAGACCAGCAGTAAAGGGCTGCATAGTTCATTGTCCAGAAAAAAGGAAGAAATTAAAGTGTGTTTGTTTTGTGTTGCAGACGGCCCTCTGCTCAGCTGGTGGGTGGGGGGTCCGGGTGGAGGACAGGTGCAGACGTATTGGGGCGGAGCTCCAGCAGGAAGTCAGCAGTGTGCCTGTGGTCTGCAGGAGAACTGTGTGGACCCCAAACACTACTGCAACTGTGACGCTGGACACACTCACTGGTACTACGCTTACTTAGAGCAACACAAATAAAAAATTAAGGGACGCCTTAAAGGTCATCTATAATGCTAGTCTCTTCTACATCAACATGTGTCCCCTCTTCTCCATGTCTCTTCTACATCAACATGTGTCCCCTGTTCTTCATGTCTCTTCTTCATCAACATGTGTCCCTCTTCTTCATGTCTCTTCACATAACATGTGTCCCCTCTTCTTCATGTCTCTTCTTCATCAACATGTTGTCCCTCTTCTTCATGTCTCTTCTACATCAACATGTGTCCCCTCTTCTTCATGTCTCTTCTACATCAACATGTGTCCCCTCTTCTTCATGTCTCTTCTTCATCAACATGTGTCCCTCTTCTTCATGTCTCTTCTACATCAACATGTGTCCCTCTTCTTCATGTCTCTTCTACATCAACATGTGTCCCCTCTTCTTCATGTCTCTTCTACATCAACATGTGTCCCCTCTGTGAAAAGAGACTCTGAAAGTTTCAGGAAAAAAGATTCTCTCTCTTTTTGTCCTGATCCATTTCTATAAAAACCTGTCTGAAAATGAGCTGATCAGATTTTGGCCACTTTATGATGTCATAACGATGTGTTGTCTTGTGTAACCATTAGCCAATCACCATCCAAGGTAACCCCCCACCTTATCACCTGAATCTCCTCCTAGAGCACCATTATATTTTTAACCAAATGTCTCTCAGAGGGGCGTGGGGAGGGGCTCCTTATTTTTCATCTAAAGTAACAGACAGAGAATCAGCACTTTTGAAACAGGGCTGAAACAGAGGGGATTATGGGTAATGCTGCAATGATCTGTTTGGTGTTTGGAGCCACACACTTCAGAGACATTTTTTGTATATATCTGAGACCTATAATATATTGATGAAAAACAGTATAATAGGGGATCTTTAAAGCCAGTAAGAAAAATAAAGAAAAAGTTGGGATAATTTTCTCCAATGTTTCATCTGCGACGAAAACATGTTTGAAAAGTTCATTAGGGGATTTTCTTGTTTTGTTTTGTTTTGTGCTTAAAGGCAGCAACACAGTAATGTTACGTAACTTTCTCACACATACAATAACTTTGTGTTAGGGCTTGTAGAAGTGAAAAACTCACCTGGAAGGAACATACATTATTTTAGTTTTAATAGCATGGACTTTTTTATCTCCTGGCAAGATCAACCATTTCCCCCCCTGTTTCACAGACGGAACATATTTGTAATGAATGAAGATTATCCGGGCAAAGCCTTTTTCTTTCACTTGCCTTTCAAGTTCATGGCTACAAAATCAAATTGACCGTAAAGCATGTTTACCATACTCTGAAAACACTTAAAATATAAGTTATCCTATAATAAGATCGTGGTTCAAGGTTCTTTATTTTGTCATACGAACATAGCGTATATTTATGCCGATGAAAATCTTAGGTCACAGGCTTCTCCAACTTATTCTTATTTCTTCACCTTCAAGTCTTTGGTTTCCTCTTTATACCCAGCTTCTTCCTCTTCTTCCTCCCCTCTCGTCTCCTCCCCACCTCTCAGGGCGAATGACTCGGGGCTGCTGACCCATAAGGAGACCCTTCCGGTCCGCTCTCTGGTTCTTGGAGACGTCCACAGACCGGGCTCAGAGAGCGCCTTCAGGGTTGGGCCCCTGCGCTGCCACGGGGACAGTAAGTCAATATTTTTCTTTTTACAACCAAAAGACCTGGATCAGGGGCGTCCAAAGTTTTTTCACCGAGGGCCACATACAGAAAAATATACGAAGGGCTGGGCCACTCACTAAGTTCAGTTATAAGTTAGCAAAATCAATCAATGTAGGTAGATGATGCTTGTGTGTGTTGGCAGCTCATCCCTTAAAACAAAAGCCTCAGATTGATTCTAATAAGGAGAAATATGAAGGGTGTATTTCAAGCTTGTTTTGTAAATAAGTCATTTGGCTTTTCTCTTATCAACTCAGATATGTTAGAAAATGTTTCCAACTTTAATTGACTGAATATATTTGAAAAGTTATCTTATTAACACATGAATACTACTGTGTAATATATGTTTATATTTATATTTAAGTAGTACAATATAAGACAAGCACAAGTTAGATTTGTGGGCCATATTCCTTTTTTTTTTTAAATTGGCTGAGGGCTTCAAAATGGTCCGCGGGCCGTAGTTTGGACACCCCTGACCTGGATGATGCTTATAGCTTTCCATTTATCCTCAGAAAATGTCTGGAATGCTGCGTTTTTCGACAAGGAGACATCGTACCTCCACTTTCCCACATTCCACGGAGAGCTGAGTGCAGACGTCTCCTTCCTGTTTAAAACCACCTCATCCTCCGGAGTCTTCCTGGAAAACTTGGGCATCAAAGACTTCATCCGGATCGAACTCAGCTGTAAGTAAAACCCATCCAGTTAGAAGTCTAGTCCGCACTGCGCTCAGATGTGAGCAGGAGGGATCGACCCGGGAGTTAAAGTTTCACCTGGATTGAACTCGGCTCGAGGTGACCGTCTCAGAACTCCTCTACCCTAAAAATAATAACAAGTTTCAGCCAAGAGCGCCTCTGGGAAATCACTGCGGTGCCATTGTTCTAGTCCACTGCAACACATTTTCTTTATGCCCACCATGGTTTATAGTTATATTATCACTGTAGTGCATTTCTGTTGAAAGGTCACTCTTTATGATACCTCTATGACACCTATAAAAATATATTAATATTTCCACATAAGAAACTAGCTTATGCAGGAAATCGGATTTAAGGCTGCAGCCGGCCATCAGATGTCTCTCTTGAAAGTTGCCATGTTTGTTAGTAATAAGTGAAGCTGCAGAATTAGGACTGACAAAGAAATGACACCCTTTGCCTTGACACTAAAGCCTTTACTTATTATTTTTCAAATATCTGATTCTTTCTAATGATTTATTTTAGTGTTGGTTTCAGTTTTGCCAATTTATGATGAAACACAGCGACGCGTTTCATAAGTCATGAGGCTTTCACAACAAGACATTAACTATTTTCCGGCTTATGCCAATTCAAATCCCACTTTTTTGCAATGGAGATAAATAAGTTTCAATTCCCACAAATAAAAACAGAAAGTGAGAAAAAAAAAATCATTTTCCAATCCACAAATAAAGGGCTTTGGCTTTGTTAAATATGTGCAGGAATACTTATATATATATATCCATATTCCAATTACTTGTATATAGACTGTTCTGCACTATTTCTATTATATTCAATTTTATTTTACATTACATTACATTACATTTAGCTGACGCTTTATCCAAAGCGACTTACAATAAGTACATTCGACCAGGAAGACACAACCTTGAAGAAAACAGAATCATAGAAGTACATCAGGTTTCATAGAGCCAAACATTTCAAGTGCTACTCAACTGGCTTTAGATAAACCAGTCCTTAGTTAGTATATAAGTGCTTCGTTAATAGTTCTATCGCTCGAAGTGGAGTCGATTCGTTTTAACTTGCATTATTTGATCTGTTTATTGTGTTGCACTGTTGGAGGAGCCTGTGACCTAAGCATGTAATTGTTTAATTACACTGTAGCTATGCACATGAATCTTGAATGAAGTATTGACTTTCTTGCCTCTTCTCCTCAGCTTCCTCTGAGGTGGTGTTCTCCTTCGACGTGGGGAACGGTCCTCTGGAGGTCCGTGTGCAGGCCGACTCTCCGCTGAATGATAACCGGTGGCACCGCATCCGCGCCGAGCGAAACGTTAAAGAGGCGTCGCTGCGCCTCGACGAGCTGCCGGCTGCCACTCAGGAGGCGCCGGCTGATGGGCACATCCACCTGCAGCTCAACAGCCAGCTATTTATAGGTGAGTGTGTGTGTGTGGTGTGTGTGTGTGTGTGTGTGTGTGTGTGTGTGTGTGTGTGTGTGTGTGTGTGTGTGTGTGTGTGTGTGGTGTGTGTGTGTGTGTGTGTGTGTGTGTGTGTGTGTGTGTGTGTGTGTGTGTGTGTGTGTGTGTGTGTGTGTGTGTGTGTGTGTGGATGTATTTACAGGAGATATTGAATGTAAGGGGCTGGGGCGAAGAAGGATGAGGGATGTTGTTTGTGCACAATCTGAATAAAAGCCCTGGATGGTAACTGCACTGACAGAAATGATGCATGACATTAAATAGAGGAATGATGTGAGACAGAGGGAAGAGCATGAAGGAAGGGATGAAGGGTTGAAGGGATGATAGATTGTAAGGGATGTAGGAAAGGATGAGGGGTGTAGGGGGGAAGTGATAAAGGGATGATGAAAGGGATGACGGGATGTAGAGGGGGATACACTGATGATTGCATGTAGGGCGGAAGGGATGTGGTGATGTAGAGAAGGAGGAAGGCATCTAGTGATGGATGTATGGAGATAGGGATGTACAGATGGAAGAAGGGATGTAGGAAGTGTGGGATGAAGGAGGGGGGATGAATGAAGGGGAGTAAGGCGATGTGGATGAACAGATGAAGGGATGTGTAGGAGCCATGAAACGTATATAACAATGCGTTTGTTTTTGATATAGGATGTTTGTTTGGTCGCTGTTGATTGGTTGGCTTGGGTCACATGGATATGGGCGGCACTCATTATAATCCTGTTCACCTGCGTGAGGTGTGTGTGTGGAAGAGAGGTGACACAGGGCCGTTGTACTTTTTGTTGGCCGCACGTTTTAATGATTGCTTTGATCACTGATTGATAACAATGTTCATGTCCAAGGAGAATAAGTTGATCATCCCAGTTTTCATTAAACCACAAGAGATAGGGATCAAGGGAAGTAAGAAGGAAGGGATGAAGTGGTGTAAGAAGTAAGGGATGAAAATGTAGCTAACTTCATTTAAATGCAATTCAAAACTGCTTTAACAAAGAAAACAATACGGTATTCACACCATCTCTATACACAATAATGGCTATGTACACATTTCCAATAACCTCCCCTTCATTTCAGTCCTCAATGAAAACCATATTTCTCTCTCTGCCTTCCTTTCAATTTCTCTCCTTGACTCTGTACCTTTTCTTTCACACACACACACCCACACACACAAAGATTACTCTGTAGTGGTATGGCTTTTTGTATTGACCCAAGGGAAGCTGGCAGCCTCCTGAAGTAAACAGATAGTGACGGAAACGTTAAGCCTTCAGCAATACTCCTCACTAAAGCTCCGATCTTAGTTCACTCTGTACAGGGAGCAGCTGTCTGCTTATTGATCCACATTGAAACAGACAGATTTAAAAAAGATCAATCAATCCAAAACCTCAGCAAAGGAACGAAACACAGGCCAAGGTTATGGAACTGATACCTTTATAAACACCTAATAGGTAAGGGATAATGTGCAGCAACGCGGTCATTATGGGGAAAAGAACACCGACAGGCTGATCAGGAGCCCGACGCGAAGCGGAGGGATCTAGATCGGCATGAAGGTGTTCTTTTCCCCATAATGACCAAGTTGCTGCACATTATCCCGCTTATTACATGGCCACATTCTCAACAAAGTAACATTATGAATCCCAATATTAATTGAAATGCTTTTATGGATTTAGAAAATTATTTTATTGATTTAAAAAATAGTTGTATTGATTTAAATTGACATGCATCCGCTAAGAAAATAGTCCGTTGTTACCGTTTGAACTAACGTAGCAACGGCAGGAACTGCTTCGATAGCGTTTTTGAGGAGCTTTTTTGATTACAGATTTGAAAACATCGCTGCTTGCTTTAAAAGTAGCACACTTCATGATGTCAAACCTTGGAAAGTATCTAGATATCCCTGCCCTAATGCCAAAGGAACTGCACACTGAATATGTGTCGCCGTTTGATGTCTATGTCTGGACCGCTGCGTAAAAAGGAGGGTTTCTGCCCGTTACTTCTCCGCTGTTTTCTTGTCCCTCTTGTCTTCTTCTTTTCTTCACTGGGGACTCATCAGCCACTAACCATTCCTCCAAATTACTGTGCTCTCCAAATATATTAAAATTAATGTTAAAATCCTCCATGTTGCTATCACACGACAGCGGAAAACTAAAGACAATCAGACAGTTTGCTTGCTTTTCAAACTGTTACATTTGAAAAACAGTTAGAGCGTCTCTTGTCAGTTTGAAAAGACAACGGCAGGAACTGCTTGCGTTTTTGAGGAGCTTTTTGATTACAGATTTGAAAACATCGCTGCTTGCTTTAAAAGTAGCACAATTCATTAAGTCAAACCTTGGAAAGTATCTAGATATCCCTGCCCTAATGCCAAAGTAACTGGCAACTGAATATGTGTCGCCGTTTGATGTCTATGTCTGGACCGCTGCGTAAAAAGGAGGGTTTCTGCCCGTTACTTCTGCGCTGTTTTTCATGTCCCAGTTCGAAAAGCAAACTGCATGCAGTTTGCTTTTCGGCCCAACGGTATACAGTTAAATCGACCGGACTTCTTTCTGAAGATGTGAGCGTCCTTAACAACGGTCAATAAGTCCTTGACAGCGGTCTGTTCGGTATTAACAACGTGTCACGTGTTCTGAATTGACCAATCAGAATCGAGTATTCAACTAAGCCATGTAATAAACTGAGATAAAGTCCTCAGGATGATGCTGTGAAAGTCTTGTTTGTAGTGGTCAGTTTCCTCCCAGTAACCTTGGTGCAGAGTTTATATCAAGTCCATTAGTGGAGGAACTTTCCTGACAGCTCCTGATGAAACTCCAAGCCCTGATATGAACCTCATCAGCGCTGCAGTCCCAGAAAGCTGTTTATCTCATCATAAACGTCTCCAAGTTGCCAGTTTGGCAGCAGAGTAAACTTGGAGGACAGTTCGAGGTTGTAATGTGAGAAAACAATAACTTCTGGAGTCTAAATTATGCGCTGGAAAGGGAAAAACATGCCAGGCAGGACAGGAGATTTGTCAGAAAGATTGACGGCTTGCCAGCTTTTCACATGAGCAATCCGTTTGGTGATAACAGCCAATGAAAAGCCTTGAATTTTTCACCTGCCAGTTTTTGTTTCACAGCGTTTCATCAGCTCATCATTTCAGAAATTCAGTTTGAAGGTAGTGACAAATCTTTGTTTATGTAGGTGTTTATTATAAAATGTGATATCAGTCACTGTCACCCTGCAATTTGATTAGAGAAATAATACGATTTTATTTTGATTAAATAATATATGGTATGAAAAGGCTTGCTTGGCTTGCATAATCCATCATGGAGAACATCACATCTGCATTTATATTTGATTGAGATATATCAATATATGAAGGCAGTGGCTCAGTCAGTAGGGGAGCTGTAGGGTCGCCGGTTCAAGTCCCCGACCAGACCTGAGTGTGGACTGCTACTAGTTCCCAGTTCACCTCCTGCCCTGCCGTGGTGCCCTTGAGCAAGGCACCGGACACCCCCCTTCCCCCTCACTCCCATTGCTCCCCGGGCGCTGTACAATAGCTGCCCACTGCTCCTAGGACTCCTGGTACTAGCGTGGGTTAAATGCAGAGAACACATGTCACTGTGTGTGACCATTAAAGTGGGTTTCATCCCTCCCACTCTATCTATCAAGTAGTGCAGACTTTTTCAAATCAATCTGCACTTTGAAAATAGGAAATAATGAAGACTTTGTGATTAAAACTAGGTAGGAAGTTTAATACTATTCAGAAACGAAGGAAACGCTGCTTGGAAAGTATGAATTTAAATTAAAAAGCACATTTTCCTTTGAACAAATAGTCAGTATTTATAAAAAGCATTGTGATTTGAGGTTTGCTCGTATAATGAGCTGCTGTAGCATTAGTATGGGTTTCACATTTATCGTGTCTAAAGGTTGAAAAGTTTTCCTTCTACTCGTCAATTAAATTCTTCCGGGAACATAAAGTAAAGTGGCAGAAAATGGCCCTAAATTGTGCGAGTTAGACGGGCTATTGAACAGAAATAATTGCTCAAAATAGTTTGGCACTAGGAGCATCAGGCTTGAAAAAACTGCACCTTTTTGCATGAGTGATGTGTGAGAGCCTCTGCAGGGAAAAGAAAGAAATAAGGTGAACTAAATATGAAGTTCAATTTAACTTTCTTTTTCTGACTTTTTCCGGAGTAAGACCCCATTTACACGGGAACGTTTGCGTTTACGCACCGAATTCGTTTTCAAAAAAGTCTTCCGTTCACACGCATTCGGCTCATTTAACGTGTCCGTTCACACGAGACCACTGGAGACGCTGTAGTAGCCTACATATGCCGGGCCTGTAAGTGGCGCTGTACTTCCGCACGAGACCGCACGAAAGCGCTGGAGACGCTGTAGTACATATGCCGGGCCTGTAAGTGGCGCTGTACTTCCGCACGAGACCGCACGAAAGCGCTGGAGAGGCTGTAGTACATATGCCGGGCCTGTAAGTGGCGCTGTACTTCCGCACGAGACCGCACCAAAGCGCTGGAGACGCTGTAGTACATATGCCGGGCCTGTAAGTGGCGCTGTACTTCCGCACGAGACCGCACGAAAAGCGCTGGAGAGGCCTGTAGTACATATGCCGGGCCTGTAAGTGGCGCTGTACTTCCGCACGAGACCGCACCAAAGCGCTGGAGACGCTGTAGTACATATGCCGGGCCTGTAAGTGGCGCTGTACTTCCGCACGAGACCGCACAAAAGCGCTGGAGACGCTGTAGTACATATGCCGGGCCTGTAAGTGGCGCTGTGCTTTCGCCACAAAATACACCAAAAGCAGCGAAGAAGACCCCCGAGCATGGTTGCCATGGTTGCCCTTCTGTGTATGCCCCTCGGTAGATTTAGCAACATGTTGTTCATGTAATTCTCTATGTCCACTTGTTGCTGATGGTTGTCGTAGAGGAGCTGTAGATCTTGCACTAACAATGTCCTCTGTCGGAAGCATAACTCAGGTCGGGAATACCGCAGATATTTTCTGTGTTAAGAATCACATGGGGTCCTTTAAAGTCAGATTCGTATTTATTTATGAGAAATCATGACAATTATTCCTAAAGCAACAACATGTCTGTCTTTTTCTGCTTTTTTTAGACATTCGTCCCTTTTCTAGCATCCAGATATGTTTCTTATTTTAATCCTTTTTATTCTTATTTTAAGATTTCTTTGTTAGCCTAATCATCTCGCTCGCTGCACTGGCAGATTATTACACTTATTTTAAATCTGTATCTCCTCAAATCACACTCCATTTTCCTTGTTATAAGATGGACGGCTTTTGCAGTGAAGAAGAGAGTGAGACATTGTTGGGAAAATACTGAATGTGCTCTTCCAATATCAGAGTCCACATGATGACAAAGGTATCCCAACTGTAGCTGTGAACATGACAGGATGTGTGATTACCCAGAAGAGCATCAGGACTGTTTTAGGCATATGATAGCTATGTGATTAACATGATGAGTCAGCCTCTATGGAGAGAGACATATGACAAGCATGCTCATTTCTGACGTGGAGCTAATCTGAACTAAACATTGAATACTGCTTTCTATTCCTCCATCTTGTGACTGTGTAACTCCCTCTCTTGGATATCAGCATGTGAAGGACACTGTTCAGGAGCTAGTTGATGCTCTGTATGTGATGACTACTTCCATTCTGGAAAGGATCAGAAACACATGGATCCTGAGATTGAAGCTCAAGCCGGGGACGAGGGATATTTTTCTAACAGTCATATAAAAAGAGAAAAGGCAAGATGCAATACAGCATGCTGAAATGTTTCCTCTGCGTCTTCTCTTCAGGGGGCACAGCGTCCAGGCAGAAGGGTTTTCGGGGGTGTATCCGCTCTCTGCAGCTGAACGGGGTCACCCTGGATCTGGATCAGAGGGCGAGGATCACCCCCGGGGTCCAGGCCGGGTGTCCGGGTCACTGCAGCAGCTACGGCTCGCTCTGTAAGAACCAGGGTCGCTGTGTGGAGAGAGCGCTCAGCTTCTCCTGCGACTGCTCCTCCTCTGCCTTCACCGGAGCCTTCTGCCACACAGGTACGCCCAGAGGTGGGAAGTAGTGCAGTACAAATACTTTGTTACTGTACTTAAGTACATTGTTCTGGTATCAGTACTTTACTCCACTACTTATTTTTCTGACGACTTCTTACTTCTACTTCTTACATTTCGAACCCAAATACCTGTACTTTCTACTTCTTACATTTTTAACCCAAATACCTGTACTTTCTACTTCTTACATGTTGAACACAAGTACCTGTACTTTCTACTTCTTCCATGTTGAACACAAATACCTGTACTTTCTACTTCTTACATTTTTAACCCAAATACCTGTACTTTCTACTTCTTACATGTTGAACACAAATACCTGTACTTTCTACTTCTTACATGTTGAACACAAATACCTGTACTTTCTACTTCTTACATGTTGAACACAAATACCTGTACTTTCTACTTCTTACATGTTGAACTCAAATACCTGTACTTTCTACTTCTTACATGTTGAACACAAGTACCTGTACTTTCTACTTCTTACATTTTGAACCCAAATACCTGTACTTTCTACTTCTTACATGTTGAACACAAATACCTGTACTTTCTACTTCTTACATGTTGAATACAAATACCTGTACTTTCTACTTCTTACATGTTGAACACAAATACCTGTACTTTCTACTTCTTACATTTCAAACCCAAATACCTGTACTTTCTACTTCTTACATTTTGAACTCAAATACCTGTACTTTCTACTTCTTACATTTTGAACCCAAATACCTGTACTTTCTACTTCTTACATGTTGAACACAAATACCTGTACTTTCTACTTCTTACATTTTTAACCCAAATACCTGTACTTTCTACTTCTTACATGTTGAACACAAATACCTGTACTTTCTACTTCTTACATTTTAACCCAAATACCTGTACTTTCTACTTCTCACATGTTGAACTCAAATACCTGTACTTTCTACTTCTTACATGTTGAACCCAAATACCTGTACTTTCTACTTCTCACATGTTGAACACTAATACCTGTACTTTCTACTTCTTACATTTTGAACCCAAATACCTGTACTTTCTACTTCTTACATGTTGAACCCAAATACCTGTACTTTCTACTTCTTACATGTTGAACACAAATACCTGTACTTTCTACTTCTTACATTTTTAACCCAAATACCTGTACTTTCTACTTCTTTACATGTTGAACACAAATACCTGTACTTTCTACTTCTTACATGTTGAACACAAATACCTGTACTTTCTACTTCTTACATGTTGAACACAAATACCTGTACTTTCTACTTCTTACATGTTGAACACAAATACCTGTACTTTCTACTTCTTACATGTTGAACTCAAATACCTGTACTTTCTACTTCTTACATGTTGAACACAAGTACCTGTACTTTCTACTTCTTACATGTTGAACACAAATACCTGTACTTTCTACTTCTTACATTTTGAACCCAAATACCTGTACTTTCTACTTCTTACATGTTGAACACAAATACCTGTACTTTCTACTTCTTACATGTTGAACTCAAATACCTGTACTTTCTACTTCTTACATGTTGAACACAAGTACCTGTACTTTCTACTTCTTACATTTTGAACCCAAATACCTGTACTTTCTACTTCTTACATGTTGAACACAAATACCTGTACTTTCTACTTCTTACATGTTGAACACAAATACCTGTACTTTCTACTTCTTACATGTTGAATACAAATACCTGTACTTTCTACTTCTTACATTTCAAACCCAAATACCTGTACTTTCTACTTCTTACATTTTAAACCCAAATACCTGTACTTTCTACTTCTTACATTTTAAACCCAAATACCTGTACTTTCTACTTCTTACATGTTGAACACAAATACCTGTACTTTCTACTTCTTACATTTTTAACCCAAATACCTGTACTTTCTACTTCTTACATGTTGAACTCAAATACCTGTACTTTCTACTTCTTACATGTTGAACTCAAATACCTGTACTTTCTACTTCTTACATGTTGAACACAAGTACCTGTACTTTCTACTTCTTACATGTTGAACCCAAATACCTGTACTTTCTACTTCTCACATGTTGAACACTAATACCTGTACTTTCTACTTCTTACATGTTGAACCCAAATACCTGTACTTTCTACTTCTTACATGTTGAACACAAATACCTGTACTTTCTACTTCTTACATGTTGAACACAAATACCTGTACTTTCTACTTCTTACATCTTGAACACAAATACCTGTACTTTCTACTTCTTACATGTTGAACCCAAATACCTGTACTTTCTACTTCTTACATGTTGAACACAAATACCTGTACTTTCTACTTCTTACATGTTGAACACAAATACCTGTACTTTCTACTTCTTACATTTTGAACACAAATACCTGTACTTTCTACTTCTTACATTTTTAACCCAAATACCTGTACTTTCTACTTCTTACATGTTGAACTCAAATACCTGTACTTTCTACTTCTTACATGTTGAACTCAAATACCTGTACTTTCTACTTCTTACATGTTGAACACAAGTACCTGTACTTTCTACTTCTTACATGTTGAACCCAAATACCTGTACTTTCTACTTCTCACATGTTGAACACTAATACCTGTACTTTCTACTTCTTACATGTTGAACCCAAATACCTGTACTTTCTACTTCTTACATGTTGAACACAAATACCTGTACTTTCTACTTCTTACATGTTGAACACAAATACCTGTACTTTCTACTTCTTACATCTTGAACACAAATACCTGTACTTTCTACTTCTTACATGTTGAACCCAAATACCTGTACTTTCTACTTCTTACATGTTGAACTCAAATACCTGTACTTTCTACTTCTTACATGTTGAACTCAAATACCTGTACTTTCTACTTCTTACATGTTGAACTCAAATACCTGTACTTTCTACTTCTTACATGTTGAACTCAAATACCTGTACTTTCTACTTCTTACATGTTGAACTCAAATACCTGTACTTTCTACTTCTTACATGTTGAACCCAAATACCTGTACTTTCTACTTCTTACATGTTGAAACTCAAATACCTGTACTTTCTACTTCTTACATGTTGAACTCAAATACCTGTACTTTCTACTTCTTACATGTTGAACTCAAATACCTGTACTTTCTACTTCTTACATGTTGAACTCAAATACCTGTACTTTCTACTTCTTACATGTTGAACTCAAATACCTGTACTTTCTACTTCTTACATGTTGAACCCAAATACCTGTACTTTCTACTTCTTACATGTTGAACTCAAATACCTGTACTTTCTACTTCTTACATGTTGAACTCAAATACTTGTACTTTCTACTTCTCTCATTTCCCAAACAGCTGGTTCCTTTAGTCTGAATGTGTGTTTGATGCGTGATCATTATTCTTTAGAGTCATTGCGTGCCTATTGATTTGAACACGATCCGTGTATCCATCATTTCCTGGTCTTCTCTAAAGAAGAGGGACCAATGGAAACGTTGTCATGTTGCCGTTGTTCAGCATGGAAACATTAATTAGCTAACAATGACATTATTGTTCTATTAATATAAAGGGAGGTCAGGTACTCTTTAAAACAGCTGCTAGTTATGGGTACTTTTTACTTAAGTACATTTCAAAGCCCTCTTTACTTTTACTTGAGTAAAAAAGTTTAGTCAGTACTTCTACTTTACCAGAGTATGTTTGAACACGAGTATCATGTACTTCTACTTGAGTAAAGGATGTGTGTACTTGTGCCATCTCTGGAGGTACGCCTAATCTCCCAGCAGCACCTGGGGCATAATGATGGGGATTTAAGGACCCTATTGTATGAAAAATTGGGGAAATCATTTTACCTTCAAGTAATTTTTGTGGCAAAATGATCTTGCTACAATTTCTTCCTCTTCCAATATTTGTTTGATGAACATTTCCCTGAAAACTAATCCTGACAGATGCTTATCTTTGGAAACGTTTGGCTTTTGGTGTGTGGCTGATGTCCAAAAACTGCTGACCCCCGAAATCACAGCCTGAATACTGAATGTGTTACATTGCAAACAAGCTTGGGGAGTAACGGGTTAGACTTAGGGTCAGGGTGGAAATGTCACCATCATTTCGTGCTGGAACGATAAATTAGGAACAACATTACCATACAGTAAAAGCTGTTTCAAAGGGTCAACATTTCATTTGAAGAAGCTTTTACAGATTGATTTTCTGTGTGTTTTCACTCATTCAAATAGGTTTGGCTTACCGCCTGAATTTGCCTTTTGCCTTGACTGTTAAAAGTTGAGTTTGACTAAGGTTAAAGTTTGGTTCACAGTTTTGTAGGGATCGTATCATTTGCATTTAATTTTGAATGAGTATAAAGCCACTGTATGTCTTTGCTCTCCATCTTATAACTCAGTGATACATGTAGTGTTTGAACAGCAGCTCTGACAACTCATGCTGCTCCTCTTTCAGCAGAAAGCAGCTGACAAAAGGAATCTGATAATTAAACACTCAGAGCTGTGATTTCCTGTAATGTCTTAACATTAAAAAACAGCTGGTGTGCTTTTTTATAAGTGGTTGTGTTTCTGATGTTCCCGTGATAACGTAATTAACGAGAAGACTAGGTGTGTGTTAAAACACCTTGAAGGCAGCAAACTGAAAATATTCACATTTTCACAGAAAACTTATAATAGCAGTAATATTGTGATATCTGTATTCGAAAAGAAAACAAATAGGGTTATACTTGACTTTATCTTTGTTTAGTTTTCATTTTCTCTCTTTTTCTGCCGAATTAAACTAATTAAGCTTGTTTTGACTGTTTGTTGTGTTTCATTAACACTGTTTTAATGCTTTTAATGTTTTTTGAGAAGCACTTTGAATTGCCTTGTGTTGAAACTAGTTGTATCAATTAACTTGCGTTGCCTAATGGATAGTGAAAAATCCCCCAGATGAACTGATTTAGTTTACCTTCAGGTGTTTGCTATCATGGGATTAAAAATGTAAAAGGTAAAAATGACTAATTTCCCCTAAAGACCGTAACCTTATCGAAGTATCAGCGTTTAAAGGGCCCTATTATGCTTTACACCTGCTTACTATAAAGCTACAAAGGAGACAATCGCTCATACCACCCTGTTATTAAACTTCCTACATCATCTCCCTCTCTGCAGAGGTTTCAGCCAGCTTCAAGTCAGGAACATCCGTCAGCTACACCTTCAGGGAGTCGGTGTTGAACGGCAGCTCCGTTTCCTCTGACTTCTCCCCGAGAGGAGAGAACATCTCCCCGAGAGGAGAGAACATCTCCCCGAGAGGAGAGAACATCTCCCTGAGCTTCAGGACGAGTCAGAGTCCGGCTCTGCTCCTCTTCGTCAGCTCCTTCCACAGAGAGTACCTCGCTGTGCTGCTCAACAAGCACGGTAAGCCTCTTACCTTTATTTAAAAAATACTAACCTATTTTACGATTGTAGCTCTGCCTTTAGGATCTGTGTGAGGTTAATGTCTGTCTCTCTGCTGAATGGAGCTGCCTTTTGCTTCCTGAGCTGTTGAATCCACAGCTTTGGTAACTGTGTGTGTGGTGTGTGTGTGTGTGTGTGTGTGTGTGTGTGTGTGTGTGGTGTGTGTGTGTGTGTGTGTGTGTGTGTGTGTGTGTGTGTGTGTGTGTGTGTGTGTGTGTGTGTGTGTGTGTGTGTGTGTGTGTGGTGTGGTGTCTGTCTGTCTGTCTGTCTGTCTGTCTGTCTGTCAGACATGCTGGAGGTGCGCTACAGGCTGGACGGCAGCAGAGAGGCAGAGATCCTGAGGAGCAAAGTGAGGAACCTCAACAACGCACAGCTTCATGCTGTCAGCATCAGCAGGAGGGCAGATGCTGTCTCTCTGCAGGTAACACACACACACACACACACACACACACACACTCTGTCAGTACTAAAACCAGAGTCACCCTGCAGTTCCCAGCAGCCTCTCTGTCAGTCGACTACAGCGACCAGCGGGAGAATCTACAAGAAGACGACACGCAGGGACGAGTTGCTGGAAATACTCACAGATAATAAATCTGAGCCGCAGTGAAACAACGGACTCACACGTGTTATCAGCTCCGACAAACAGGCTCTTTCTCTTACCTTCAAAATAAGACTAGCTTTTTAAGCTTTGAGCACCAGAGCCTCATGCTTAAAATGTCTCATTTTAGTTGTCAGGTCCGTGTCGTTTACGCTGGGGATGCTGGAGACATGTCCGCCTCACTTTTGGAAATTGCCAATTCTGTACACCCCACTTTTTATAAGCATCATTTGTTAAATATAGCTTGCAGAGGGAAATACATGAGAGCACTTTGCAGTTAGACATGATGTATTACATTTAGCTGACGCTTTTATCCAAAGCGACTTACAATAAGTACATTCGACCAGGAAGATACAACCTTGAAGAAAACAGGTTGTATGCTGATGATACACAGCTGGTTCTTCAACTGTGTTTCAACCAGATACGATACGATATGATACGATATACTTTATTGTCCCCGTAAGGAAATTCGTTCTGGGCTCCGTCCAGCAGTTCCGCATACATGTACATAATATACAAACTAGTGGACATTTAAGAGACATACACATATCATCAATCATACACCGTTTGAACAAACACAATACATGCAGACGCACATACTGACAATGGCGACCTATTGCACAACCCTTATGGCCAACATTTAAAAAAATTAAAATTAAAAAATAAATTAAAAAAAGTACATTTCATTACATTTGACTTCGACTACATTTCATTTCCTGTCAATGTTAAGAAGTTTAACGGACATTGGTAGGAATGAGTGCTTATAGAAACTGTCTCCCTGATTCTGAGGTCCTGTCAGTACAATTGTAAGAAGTTCAACACATCCTTAGTATGTTGCATCCTTTTGCTTTGTCTTGCATGGTTGTTTTTATATCACACATATAATAATAAGGAAAATCACAAAAAACAAAAGCATGGATTTCATAGTGAATGACTTCTGTCAAAGTTGTGTAATAACCCTTTTAAGTATGTATATTCTATTTGAAGTGACGCTTCTTTATAATCTCTTTTAGATTGACCAGAACACCAGAGAGGACTTCAACCTGACGTCGGATGCAGAACTGAACAGCCCCCGGTCTCTGGTGCTCGGCAGAGTGCCAGGTGAGTCTGTAGAAACCAGACGAGGCCTTCAGCTCAGAGCACTCAGACAGTCTCTCAGACCGCTGCTGCTCATCCCAGGGACAGCTGTTGTTTGTACTCTATGAAGAAGTACATTTAAATACTGGAGCCTTTAAGCACTAAGATGTGATGTGATTAAAACCACACGCACACAATGGATGCGACGGACTAGCTTTTAACTGAGAGAATTGCTTCAGAGAAAAAGGCAGACAGACGTCTAACAGAAAAGGCACAATCTTTACACGATAAAGATCATTCATATTCCAACCACTCAGCCGGATGAACTGAAGTTTGTATCTATTATTCAAAGATGCATTGAAAATGTTCTGAATATGTTCTTTTCGAAAACATATTCCCAACTAGTTTTCAAACTTTTCACACAGTTGTGAAGCGAGAGGAAACAAAAGCCACAACAACTTTCAGGATGTTCCCTTTAAGATGTTGGTTCTTACATGATGCTTCTGTTATTGCTTACATAATGCATCTTCTTTGGAGGAAGACATTGCATTGTCATTTGTTCTGGAAAGCTGAAGCTGCAGTGTTCTTTATGGTTGTTGTTATTATTGTTATTATGTCTTTATTCAACAAGGACCGTGCATAAAATACATTAATCTCAACAAGAGAAGACATGATTTATGCTAGATTTGACTATAATTGGATTTCCTTCTTTTCCCGGAAGTTACACACCAAACAACAAACACTCAAAACATTACATTTTCTCCTACAAACTAACAATAATACAGATGCTGGCTTATGCAGTAGGGTTATCGGGGTTCTATTGTATTTTAATGCAGCAACACTTACAGTGGAGATGCTCACTTCAAGTGAATTACCTGCATGTTCATCATTGATCAAGTCAGATGTATGTATTGTTAACATTTAGGTAGGGGTCAATACATCGAAATAAAGTTGTGGTTGAGTAAATTAGACACTAAACGTGCACTGTATGTTGTAGTTGTTGCTTTTTTGCTTCCAAATATGTTTTGCGCTGGTATTTGGCCAAAAAACAACAATTTAAGAGGCGGGATATCATTGTAATAGATTTTTAGGTGAAATGTCAGGTTTCTCCTGATTCCTGATCCATCTTTAATGTATGTTTCTCTCCTCTCCAGACTCTGTTGAGTTGGACCCAGAGATGTCTCGTCTCTCCTCTCTGGGTTTCACAGGCTGTCTGTCGGCCGTCCTCTTTAACTCCGTCAGCCCTCTGAAAGCCGCTCTGCTCCACCCGGACCTCGTCACCGGCCCTCTGCTCCCGAACACATGTGGCTCCACTTCGGCCAATCCCTATGCAGCAGAAACCACACACCACCTGTCAGGTCAGAGGAGAAATGTGTGTGTTTTAGTGGTCACTTCATTCACACTTTAAAGGTCCCCTATTATACTGTCTTTCATAAATGTATTATAGGTCTCAGATATATACCTAACATGTCTCTGAAGTGTTTGGCTCCAAACACCAAACAGATCATTGCAGCATTACCCATAATCCCCTCTGTTTCAGCCCTGTTTCCAAAGTGCTGATTCTCTGTCTGTTACTTCAGATGAAAATAAGGAGCCCCTCCCCACGCCCCTCTGAGAGACATTTGGTTACAAAGAACTCAATGGTGCTCTAGGAGGAGATTCAGGTGATAAGGTGGGGGGGGGGGGTTACCTTGGTTGCTGATTGGCTAATGGTTACACAAGCCAACACATCGTTATGACATCATCAGGTTTTTATAGAAAGTGATCAGGACAAAAAGAGAGAGAATCTTTGTTCCTGAAACTTTCAGAAGGGGACACATGCTGATGTAGAAGAGACATGAAGAAGAGGGGACACATGTTGATGTAGAAGAGACATGAAGAAGAGGGGACACATGTTGATGTAGAAGAGACATGAAGAAGAGGGGACACATGTTGATGTAGAAGAGACATGAAGAAGAGGGGACCATGTTGATGTAGAAGAGACATGACGAAGAGGGGACACATGTTGATGGTAGAAGAGACATGACGAAGAGGGGACACATGTTGATGTAGAAGAGACATGAAGAAGAGGGGACACATGTTGATGTAGAAGAGACATGAAGAAGAGGGGACACATGTTGATGTAGAAGAGACATGAAGAAGAGGGGGACACATGTTGATGTAGAAGAGACATGAAGAAGAGGGGACACATGCTGATGTAGAGAGACATGAAGAAGAGGGGACACATGTTGATGTAGAAGAGGACATGACGAAGAGGGGACACATGTTGATGTAGAAGAGACATGAACGAAGAGGGGACACATGTTGATGTAGAAGAGACATGAAGAAGAGGGGACACATGTTGATGTATAAGAGACATGAAGAAAGAGGGGACACATGTTGATGAAGAAGAGACATGAAGAAGAGGGGACACATGTTGATGTAGAAGAGACATGAAGAAGAGGGGGACACATGTTGATGTAGAAGAGACATGAAGAAGAGGGGGAACACATGTTGATGTAGAAGAGACATGAAGAAGAGGGGACAACATGTTGATGTAGAAGAGACATGACGAAGAGGGGACACATGTTGATGTAGAAGAGACATGAAGAAGAGGGGACACATGTTGATGTAGAAGAGACATGAAGAAGAGGGGACACATGTTGATGTAGAAGAGAACATGAAGAAGAGGGGACACATGTTGATGTAGAAGAGACATGAAGAAGAGGGGACACATGTTGATGTAGAAGAGACATGAAGAAGAGGGGACACATGTTGATGTAGAAGAGACATGAAGAAGAGGGGACACATGTTGATGTAGAAGAGACATGAAGAAGAGGGGACACATGTTGATGTAGAAGAGACATGAAAAAGAGGGGACCACATGTTGATGTAGAAGAGACATGAAGAAGAGGGGACCACATGTTGATGTAGAAGAGACAATGAATAAGAAGGGGGACACATGTTTGATGTAGAAGAGACATGACGAAGAGGGGAGACACATGTTGATTAGAAGAGACATGACGAAGAGGGGACACATGTTGATGTAGAAGAGACATGAAGAAGAGGGGACACATGTTGATGTAGAAGAGACTGAAGAAGAGGGGGACACATGTTGATGTAGAAGAGACATGAAGAAGAGGGGACACATGTTGATGTAGAAGAGACATGAAGAAGAGGGGACACATGTTGATGTAGAAGAGACATGAAGAAGAGGGGGGGACACATGCCTGATGTAGAAGAGACATGAAGAAGAGGGGACACATGTTGATGTAGAAGAGACATGACGAAGAGGGGACACATGTTGATGTAGAAGAGACATGACGAAGAGGGGACACATGTTGATGTAGAAGAGACATGAAGAAGAGGGGACACATGTTGATGTAGAAGAGACATGAAGAAGAGGGGACACATGTTGATGTAGAAGAGACATGAAGAAGAGGGGACACATGTTGATGTAGAAGAGACATGAAGAAGAGGGGGACACATGTTGATGTAGAAGAGAGACATTGAGAAGAAGAAGGGGACACATGTTGATGTAGAAGAGACATGACGAAGAGGGGACACATGTTGATGTAGAAGAGACATGAAGAAGAGGGGACACATGTTGATGTAGAAGAGACATGAAGAAGAGGGGACACATGTTGATGTAGAAGAGACATGAAGAAGAGGGGACACATGTTGATGTAGAAGAGACATGAAGAAGAGGGGACACATGTTGATGTAGAAGAGACATGAAGAAGAGGGGGACACATGTTGATGTAGAAGAGACATGAGAAGAGGGGACACATGTTGATGTAGAAGAGACATGATGAAGAGGGGACACATGTTGATGTAGAAGAGACGTGACGAAGAGGGGACACATGTTGATGTAGAAGAGACGTGAAGAAGAGGGGACACATGTTGATGTAGAAGAGACGTGAAGAAGAGGGGACACATGTTGATGTAGAAGAGACATGAAGAAGAGGGGGACACTGTAGATGTAGAAGAGACAGTGAAGAAGAGGGGACACATGCTGATGTAGAAGAGACATGAAGAAGAGGGACACATGTTGATGTAGAAGAGACATGAAGAAGAGGGGACACATTTGATGTAAGAAAGACATGAAGAAGAGGGGACACATGTTGATGTAGAAGAGACATGAAGAAGAGGGACAACATGTTGATGTAGAAGAGACATGACGAAGAAGGGGACACATGTTGATGTAGAAGAGACATGAAGAAGAGGGGGACACATGTTGATGTAGAAGAGACATGAAGAAGAGGGGACAACATGTATGCTGAATAAGAGACATGAAAGAAGAGGGGACACATGTTGATGTAGAAGAGACATGAAGAAGAGGGGACACATGTTGATGTAGAAGAGACATGAAGAAGAGGGGACACATGTTGATGTAGAAGAGACATGACGAAGAGGGGACACATGTTGATGTAGAAGAGACATGAACGAAGAGGGGACACATGTTGATGTAGAATAGACATGAAGAAGAGGGGACACATGTTGATGTAGAAGAGACATGAAGAAGAGGGGACACATGTTGATGTAGAAGAGACATGAAGAAGAGGGGACACATGTTGATGTAGAAGAGACATGAAGAAGAGGGGACACATGTTGATGTAGAAGAGACATGAAGAAGAGGGGACACATGTTGATGTAGAAGAGACATGAAGAAGAGGGGACACATGTTGATGTAGAAGAGACATGAAGAAGAGGGGACACATGTTGATGTAGAAGAGACATGAAGAAGAGGGGACACATGTTGATGTAGAAGAGACATAGAAAGAGACATGAAGAAGAGGGGACACATGTTGATGTAGAAAGAGACATGAACGAAGAGGGGACACATGTTGATGTAGAAGAGACATGACGAAGAGGGGACACATGTTGATGTAGAAGAGACATGAAGAAGAGGGGACACATGTTTGATGTAGAAGAGACATGAAGAAGAGGGGACACATGTTGATGTAGAAGAGACATGTAAGAGCAGAAGAAGAGGGACACATGTTGATGTAGAAGAGACATGAAGAAGAGGGGGACACATGTTGATGTAGAAGAGACATGAAGAAGAGGGGACACATGTTGATGTAGAAGAGACATGAAGAAGAGGGGACACATGTTTGATGTAGAAGAGACATGAAGAAGAGGGGACACATGTTGATGTAGAAGAGACATGAAGAAGAGGGGACACATGTTGATGTAAGAAGAGACATTGAAGAAGAGGGGACACATGTTGATGTAGAAGAGACATGACGAAGAGGGGGACACATGTTGATGTAGAAGAGACATGACGAAGAGGGGACACATGTTGATGTAGAAGAGACATGAAGAAGAGGGGACACATGTTGATGTAGAAGAGACATGAAGAAGAGGGGACACATGTTGATGTAGAAGAGACATGAAGAAGAGGGGACACATGTTGATGTAGAAGAGACATGAAGAAGAGGGGACACATGTTGATGTAGAAGAGACATGAAGAAGAGGGGACACATGTTGATGTAGAAGAGACATGACGAAGAGGGGACACATGTTGATTGTAGAAGAGACATGACGAACGAGGGGACACATGTTGATGTAGAAGAGACATGACGAAGAGGGGACACATGTTGATGTAGAAGAGACATGAAGAAGAGGGGACACATGTTGATGTAGAAGAGACATGAAGAAGAGGGGACACATGTTGATGTAGAAGAGACATGAAGAAGAGGGGACACATGTTGATGTAGAAGAGACATGAAGAAGAGGGGACACATGTTGATGTAGAAGAGACATGAAGAAGAGGGGACACATGTTGATGTAGAAGAGACATGATGAAGAGGGGACACATGTTGATGTAGGAAGAGACATGACGAAGAGGGGACACATGTTGATGTAGAAGAGACATGAAGAAGAGGGGACACATGTTGATGTAGAAGAGACATGAAGAAGAGGGGACACATGTTGATGTAGAAGAGACATGAAGAAGAGGGGACACATGTTGATGTAGAAGAGACATGAAGAAGAGGGGACACATGCTGATGTAGAAGAGACATGAAGAAGAGGGGACACATGTTGATGTAGAAGAGACATGAAGAAGAGGGGACCATGTTTGATGTAGAAGAGACATGAAGAAGAGGGGACACATGTTGATGTAGAAGAGACATGAAGAAGAGGGGACACATGCTGATGTAGAAGAGACATGAAGAAGAGGGGGACACATGTTGATGTAGAAGAGACATGACGAAGAGGGGACACATGTTGATGTAGAAGAGACATGACGAAGAGGGACACATTTGATGTAGAAGAGACATGAAGAAGAGGGGACACATGTTGATGTAGAAGAGACATGAAGAAGAGGGGGACACATGTTGATGTAGAAGAGACATGAAGAAAGAGGGAACACATGTTGATGTAGAAGAGACATGAGAAGAGGGGACACATGTTGATGTAGAAGAGACATGAAGAAGAGGGGACACATGCTGATGTAGAAGAGACATGAAGAAGAGGGACACATGCTATGTAGAAGAGACATGAATAAGAGGGGACACATGTTGATGTAGAAGAGACATGAAGAAGAAGGGAGACAACATGTTGATGTAGAAGAGACATGAAGAAGAGGGAGACACATGTTGATGTAGAAGAGACATGAAGAAGAGGGGACACATGTTGATGGTAGAAGAGACATGAAGAAGAGGGGACACATGCTGATGTAGAAGAGACATGAAGAAGAGGGGACACATGTTGATGTAGAAGAGACACTGAAGAAGAGGGGACACATGTTGATGTAGAAGAGACACGAAGAAGAGGGGACACATGTTGATGTAGAAGAGACACGAAGAAGAGGGGACACATGTTGATGTAGAAGAGACACGAAGAAGAGGGGACACATGTTGATGTAGAAGAGACACGGAAGAAGAGGGGACACATGTTGATGTAGAAGAGACACGAGAGAAGAGGGGACACATGTTGATGTAGAAGAGACACGGAAGAAGAGGGGGACACATGTTGATGTAGAAGAGACAACGAAGAAAGAGGGGACACATGTTGATGTAGAAGAGACACGGAAGAAGAGGGGACACATGTTGATGTAGAAGAGACACGAAGAAGAGCGGGACACATGTTGATGTAGAAGAGACACGAAGAAGAGGGGACACATGTTGATGTAGAAGAGACACGAAGAAGAGGGGGACACATGTTGATGTAGAAGAGACACGAAGAAGAGGGGACACATGTTGATGTAGAAGAGACATGAAGAAGAGGGACCACATGTTGATGTAGAAGAGACATGAAGAAGAGGATGACACATGTTGATGTAGAAGAGACACGAAGAAGAGGGGACACATGTTGATGTAGAAGAGACAACGAAGAAGAGGGGACCATGTTGATGTAGAAGAGACACGAAAAAGAGGGGACACATGTTGATGTAGAAGAGACACGAAGAAGAGGGGACACATGCTGATGTAGAAGAGACACGAAGAAGAGGGGACACATGTTGATGTAGAAGAGACATGAAGAAGAGGGGACACATGCTGATGTAGAAGAGACATGAAGAAGAGGGGACACATGTTGATGTAGAAGAGACATAAGAAGAGGAGACACATTTGATGTAGAAGAGACATGAAGAAGAGGGGGACACATGTTGATGTAGAAGAGACATGAAGAAGAGGGGACACATGTTGATGTAGAAGAGACATGAAGAAGAGGGGACACATGCTGATGTAGAAGAGAAGACATGAAGAAGAGGGGACACATGTTGATGTAGAAGAGACATGAGAAGAAGGGGACACAATGTTGATGTAGAAGATACTGAAAGAAGAGGGGGACACATGTTGATGTAGAAGAGACCATGAAGAAGAGGGGACACATGTTGATGTAGAAGAGACATGAAGAAGAGGGGACACATGTTGATGTAGAAAGGACATGAAGAAGAGGGGACACATGTTGATGTAGAAGAGACATGAAGAAGAGGGGACACATGTTGATGTAGAAGAGACACGAAGAAGAGGGGACACATTGTTGAATGTAGAAGAGACACGAAGAAGAGGGGACACTGTTGATTGTAGAAGAGACACGAAGAAGAGGGGACACATGTTGTTGTAGAAGAGACAACGAAGAAGAGGGGACCATGTTGATGTAGAAGAGACACGACGAAGAGGGTACACATTTGTGATGTAGAAGAGACAACAAGAAGAGGGGACACATGTTGATGTAGAAGAGACATGAAGAAGAGGGGACCATGTTGATGTAGAAGAGAACACGACGAAGAGAGGGGACCCATGTTGATGTAGAAGAGACACGAAGAAGAGGGGACACATGTTGATGTAGAAGAGACACGAAGAAGAGGGGACACATGTTGATGTAGAAGAGACACGACGAAGAGGGGACCCATGTTTGATGTAGAAGAGACATGAAGAAAGAGGGGACACATTTTGATGTAGAAGAGACATGAAGAAGAGGGGACCCATGTTTGATGAAGAAGAGACATTAAGAAGAGGGACACATGTTGATGTAGAAGAGACATGAAGAAGAGGGGACACATGTTGATGTAGAAGAGACATGAAGAAGAGGGGACACATGTTGATGTAGAAGAGACATGAAGAAGAGGGGACACATGTTGATGTAGAAGAGACACGAAGAAGAGGGGACACATGTTGATGTAGAAGAGACACGAAGAAGAGGGGACACATGTTGATGTAGAAGAGACACGAAGAAGAGGGGACACATGTTGATGTAGAAGAGACACGAAGAAGAGGGGACACATGCTGATGTAGAAGAGGGGACACATGTTGATGTAGAAGAGACATGAAGAAGAGGGGACACATGTTGATGTAGAAGAGACACGAAGAAGAGGGGACACATGTTGATGTAGAAGAGACACGAAGAAGAGGGGACACTAGTGTTGATGTAGAAGAGACACGAAGAAGAGGGGACACATGTTGATGTAGAAGAGACATGAATAAGAGGGGACACATGTTGATGTAGAAGAGACATGAAGAAGAGGGGACACAATGTTGATGTAGAAGAGACATGAAGAAGAAGGGGACACATGTTGATGTAGAAGAGACATGAAGAAGAGGGGACACATGTTGATGAGAAGAGACATGAAGAAGAGGGGACACATGTTGATGTAGAAGAGACATGAAGAAGAGGGGACACATGTTGATGTAGAAGAGACATGAAGAAGAGGGGACACATGTTGATGTAGAAGAGACATGAAGAAGAGGGGAAAACATGTTGATGTAGAAGAGACAGGAAGAAGAGGGGACACATGTTGATGTAGAAGAGACATGAAGAAGAGGGGACACATGTTGATGAAGAAGAGACATGAGAAGAGGGGACACATGTTGATGTAGAAGAGACATGAAGAAGAGGGGACACATGTTGATGAAGAAGAGACATGAAGAAGTGGATTTTGTATAATAGGTGACCTTTGAAGAGGCCCTATTATGCGTTATATAGGTTTTAGTGCATGTAAAGGGTCTGCAAAGCCTAAAATCCCCGTGGGAGAGGGTTTCTCTTTGTGCTTTCTTGACTCCTGTCTCTGTGTCTCATGTCTCTGGCCTCTGTGCTGCAGGTCAGTCCGGATCAGTGGGAGCAGGTCAGCCTCTGGTGAACGCCATGAGGAGCGACTCGGCTCTGATTGGAGGTAGCAGCGACGTGTTTCACTCTCACACTAATGTTAATATCACTCATCAGACACAATGTGTCCCTGTGCGAGTGGGGATGCAATTGGATGTGATGACACATTTTCTTGATTTCTGATTTATTGATTTATTATGTGTTTGCTTATTTGGGGGAAAGAAATGTCATTTATATTACTTCAAATTGGTGGATGTAGGGTATTCAAACCTCACTCGGTTAGAAACAATACAAGTATACACAAAGCTGATAACAATCTGTGTTTTGGTGAAAGTTTCTATAAAAGCCTTGAGCTGTCGTTCATAACATCGTTATTTGTATTTAAGTCAATGTTAACCCGTCCTTATCAATCAACTGTGATTCAGAGTGGGAAAACAATATGTATCTCATAAAACATTGCTCTACTCTTCACCTTTTTTTCGTACCATATTTTATTCAATATATTCTTAGATATATCTTTTAATTGTATTTGTTTTATTATTTTCTCCTTATAGCATTGTGAAGCACCTTGAGATGACGTTGTTTTTCAAATGAAATGTATTATTAGTATTTATCACATAAAACAAGGTGTTAAATCCCATGTTTTCGCCCTGAGCCGCTAATTATTTTTGCTATTTCCGCTTCATCTACTCAGGCGTGATCGCGGTGGTGATCTTTGTGACCGTGTCAGCGTTAGCCGTGACGGCCCGAGTCGTCTACAGGCGGAAAGGGACGTGTCAGAACCAGGAAGTGAAGCCTGAGGACAGCCTGCAGGGCGGTGTGCAGAGCGAGAGCCAGAGAGAATATTACATTTAGGAGGAGCTTTGACCCCGACAGACCGATGCCTTGTCAAGCCTCAGTGCTTTACAGACTGACACACTTTACACTCATGTTCCTACGTTTGGTTTTTCTCTTACTGTGGTTGTACTTTTGTAAAGACTGTAAATAGATGCACAACTACAATACAGTGAAATTGTAAATATTTAATTAATGATGTGAATCTTCAAAGTAATGACTTTATTTAAATCGGTCGTGTTGAAATGTTTGAAACGATTATAAAAGGAACTGTTTTTTGAAAGTAAAGGAAGCAGTGTTTGGTTTTAAGTTATTTAAACACATTGGATTGCTGGATATTTAAAGTTTGTGTTTTGTATTTTTGTTTGCTTACTGTTTGAACTGTGGCACGGCAAAATGTATCCGTTCACATTAACATCTTTCCTATCAATATTATGTTTTCATTATGTTGTCGCTGAAAAAATGAAATAGAGAGGCGAAGTCCCGCCCATCTACTTCCGACCCATGGGACCTTATTTCGGAAAAATTATGTATTGAAGTCAATGGAGAGAGAAAAGTTATCTTTCGATCCCGTTTGAATTGTGCCACGAATTACACATATGATGTTTGTCAATCTTAAAAAATAATTTCCATTAAAAAAAAAGTCACAGTTTGTCGTAAAACTGTTGAAATATAAGACTATGAAAAATACGCAACTAGAAAGACTACAAATCCCAGAGTCCCCGGCTCCGCATGCTGGCTCTCACGGAACCGACTAACTCCCCTTGTGTGTATGCACAGCTCTCAACGTGTCCAGAGTTGCAGTGATTTTCACCTCTTTTAATACTTTCCGCCTCATTCTGAAAGAAAGAAGTGAAATATTTCAACGTGACGGCCGTCTTGGTGTGTGGTGCGAGACGGGAGATGTAGGTCATTGAGCGGTTCACACAAAAAGTGTTACTTCAGTTTTACGACACATTTTTATTTTTGACTTGCAAAATTATTATTTTAATTGACAAACATCATATGTGTAATTCGTGGCACAATTCAAACGGGATCGAAAGATAATCTTTCTCTCTCCATTGACTTCAATACATAGGCCTACTTTTCCAGAATAAGGTCCCATGGAGCTCCCCCGGAAAGGGAGGGACTTCGCCTCTCTATGAAAAACTTAAATCTTTATTTATTGTTCTTCCTTTATATTCCTTTTGCTTGTTTTGCTTGTTTCTGTGGCTTTCCTGTGCCTCCAGCGTACAGTTTTGTTTCAAACAGTAGGTATTGAGGTGAGAAGGATGCAACTTTCTGTTACCAAGTGTTACGCCACACCCTCAGGTGGACCTATGGGGCTAACACAATTCCACCATTGACCCAAATACAACACAGAAAGACACCTTTAAAATGATCTAATCCATAGTATTTATAACAATCAAACATGTAAAGTATACACTCATAATGCACCTCACTGCAGATCTACTGGAGGGGAACATCAGAAACACAACTCATATAAACACAGACTAGAGACAATGGAGGAAGCTTTATGCAGAGTGAACTGTTTACTTTAAATTGAGGAATGAGTTTGTGGTTTAGTTTCTCTCCTGGAAACACATCATGGTCTGGAGGATGTTTGTAATGTCAGAGTGTTGGAGTGACTCGCTGTGAGATTTTAACTTGTACAGATATTTTAGTAAGAAATACAAAACTGTTCAGTGAAAAATAAACGTGTGATTTTTTTTATGAGACGGACTTTTCTCTTCTTTTGAGTCAATTACAATCCTTCACCTTTATTACTGACTCCATGTTTTATAAATGCAGAGATGTTTTAGAGTTGAGACACAAGATTATAAGTTAGATCAATAGATACCCTTTCAACTCTTTAGGTTGGCAAACGTTTAAATGTGTATTCATTTCTCTATTCATAGGGGCCGTATGTAGTGTCTCTCCTGGGACACGTCTCCATGCTTTAATGTTCAGAAAGCTCTTTATTTTGCTCATACTGCCTGTGCTGCAGCACCTCTTTTCACCCTCTGTCTGGAACCAGAGCTGCTCTGATTGGTTAGCTGGCCAGCTCTGTTGTGATTGGTCAACCGCTTAGAGATGTCCCGCCCCTTAGCCTATCACGTACGATGTGTTTGAGCGCTAGCCAATAGAAGCGCTTGTATTAAATAGTGATGTCACTATGTTCCGGCAGTAAACAAAGGGAACACAGGAATTGTAGCCTTTGCAGACCGTTTACATGCACAAAAACCTATATAACACACTATAGGAAAGAGAAAACTCCAAAAAGTATAATAGAACCTCTTTAATGAAACTCACACACAGCAAATTAGCCTCAGAAAATGTACATCTCTTCATGTTTGGTACTTTAAAACGTGCTGTTTGATGGCTCTTTTCTTCACCATGTGACTTTTCTGTTGTATATAACAACTGCAGAGAGGAGACAAGTGTACCCTCTTGTCACAGGACCACCTACTGTAGCCTCTCTCGAGCTGAAATGATGAAAACCTCCCACTGCCTGCTGTCCTCCCCCGCACACACACCATGTATACATCAGTTCAGGGGACATTACATTGACTTACATGCATTTCCTGGAGACGTATCCTAACCTTAACCATAACCAACACATGCCTAACCCTAACCCTTACCCTAAACCTAACCAAGTCTTTACCCTAAAATTAATGATGGGGACCTCCATTATGTCCCCATAAGGGGCTGCATAAACAGATGTAGGTCCCACAAGGATGGTAATGCTAGGCCACACACACACAGGACTCTGACGGTCCAGGTGACAGCGTGGTTGTCAGCTGGTATTATTTACAAAGAGGGACTCACTCACGATTCAAATAACACGGAGAACAAGAGGCCGTGTTGTAATGACACATGCTGCTGCACCAAAAGAGGAAAACAATTTAGATCATGAGTCAAGATGATCTCCACAGGTGTTTAAAGTGATACAATGATGAGTATTATGTCATGTCATCACTGTCCCTTTAATAAAGGAGTGAAGTGGAGCGCTTTGCAGATAATGAACCGCCTCCTGCTGTTTGGTTAAAGAACCCCACAGACTGCAGCACCATCAGCTCCAAAGACCGCCTGATTATAAACGACACACACACAATTTAAAAGTGGCATGATGTTAAGAGATGTCTCGTGTGTCCTGCTGTTGCTGGTGTAGTTGTTCGAGGCGCTGCAGCCGGTGTTTGGACAGAGCGGTCGTCAGGGATCAGCAGCACCGAGGTTAAAGGTTGAACCGCTCAAGCGTAACTCCAGCTGAGATAAATGTACTCATAACAACTTTTACTTTTACTCGCCACATGACACCAGAATCACAGCAGTAGTTGCTACTTTCTCACATCGTAGCTGTCATCCCTGGTTTCGTTTTTTTTCGTGCAACTGTATTCAAATCAGTGACACTGGAAGTTACACTCCCATCCTGCCGTTAGCACTCTCCTGCTCCTCCACACATATGACCCTGACAATTAGCATGATATGTCCTCTTTAAAAGACTTAAAATACAAAAAGCACCTCTGCCCAAGCTTCATTTATAAATCACAAAACCATCTTGCCATATGTTGTATTGTATCACAGCAGTCATCACACCTTAGTTGTTTTACACATCACATATTCATTCAACACAGATTGGAGGGTTGTGATTGACACCTCTGCTTCCAGCTCAATTCCAATTACCACCCACACGTTGCTTTTCGCTCTGCATGTAATCAGCGATGTGATGGATGACTCAGCTCTCGATCCATATTTATAGCCATGCGCCAGGTGAAGGTCCGCTCGTCTCCCATGATCCTTCGCTCTCAGTGGCTGAAATACACGAGTCATGCTGTTTTTGGCCCTAGGTGGGAGCCGAGAGGCCAGAGAGCCGAGGCACTGATGGATTACTCTTCATAGATCCCTGAACTCTGCAGGACAGTGACAGATTTCAGCCAATCAAGAAAGAGAGTGTTTATTGACACCTCTGAGTGCCTGAAGGAAAAACAGCCTCAGATGTTCTATGTTTGATGTGGACGTCATGATCCTGTAGGAGAAACTAAGTCACTGAAAAAACACCGCTGTGAGATGAAAGAAGTCAGCCTGCTGCCATAATCAACCTCCCTCATCTTCCTCCTCCTCCTCCACTATATTATATCCAGTATAACCCTCAGTAGTGGAAGAACTTGGACACTTGACTTGAGTAAAACTAACTAAATTGTAGGCTACTCTAAAAGTCCTGCTTTGAATTTCTCACTTAAGTAAAAAGTATTGGCATCAAAATATATTCAAGCACTAAAACTAAAAGTACTTGTTATGCATAATGTGTGTGTGTGTGTGTGTGTGTGTGTGTGTGTGTGTGTGTGTGTGTGTGTGTGTGTGTGTGTGTGTGTGAGTGACTCAGGTGGATAAACAATATCTTCTGTTGGCTGAGTCAGACAAAAAAAAAAGATTCCTCACACAGAACAGTAATTACACGGAGGAGGTTATGTTTTCTGTCCAAACTGAGTCCCCAATGTCTTTGTTTGTTTGTTTGTAGCACATCTCAAAAGTATCGCAATTTTAATTAGATTTGTCGGAGGGTTCGGGTCAAGAAACAAGATGGTGTTTGTTTGGTCTCTGTCTGGTGAATTTCCTATACCCTTTGTGTGTTGTGAGTAAATGCTTATATAAACGCACCTAACTGAGTGTGTTGATATGTAGCTATGGATACAGATCTAACATATGAGACAGTAGCACTCTTACAAGATGTCCTGAGCCTTTTCCAGTTGACTTTTATGCAGATGAGCTCATTTTGGGTGCAACGGAAAACGTGTCAGCTAAAATGTTCACCAACAATTTGCTTGCTTTCTAAGGAAATGTTCCAAAATAGTATGAGGGATGTTCATTTACATTCACGCTTGGCAACGAGGAGAAACTAATATAAACGCTGGATTCCCCGATGATGTGTTACACAGCTGATTGCTCTGGTCCCCTTTTTAATTAGCTTTTAATTACCACGGTAAACGGCACTCAGCAGGAGGAGTAACTGAGCGTGGGGCCTGTCTATCTTTCCAGGTGACATTCTAAAAATGAAGTATGACTAGCATGCAGGCAGCTGAAGAAATCAGTTCATGGGTGTTTTGCTTAATTACATTTCTAATGTATTTTGATGTATGCACATATTTTCTCACCATTTACTTCATATGCTCAAAGTAGAGGTAATGAACTAATTTGATATAAATGAAGGTGTTAAATGGATCCGTCTGAGACACATTAATCAGTGCTGTTTCGGGGGGGTGGGGGGGGGCAGATTAGTCTGGTGTTATGTGGTGTTAGGGAGGCTCTGGAGAAACACACTGTTTCCTCTCTGTCTGAAGCTTGTTTACCGTATCAGCAGAGGTGGAAGAAGTACTCAGATCTTGTACTTAAGTAAAAGTAGAAGTACCAGATTGTAGAAAAATACTCCACAAGTGAAAGTCCTGCATTCAAAATGTTACTCAAGTAAAACCACAAAAGTATCAGCATCAAAATTATAGTATCAAAAGTACTCATTATGCCGAATAATATATATCATTTTGATCAT